AATTGTCTACCTCTAAGTCGTCGTTCAGCTGGCGGCCTTGGTACTGCCAGCGAGCCTGAACGATGACTCCTGTGCTGAGGATCAGAGCCACCAGGAGGACGGTGTCCCACAGCTGCTGCAGGTACTTCTGTGAAGCAGCAACAACACGGATTCCTCTACATCACAAACAAGAAAAGTCTTCCAGATAAATTAGCTTATATTTCTCATTTCTGTACCGTTCCATCTAATCGGGTTATCTTGACAAGTAGGAAGTCAGAGGTTTAGGCTCTAACACGAGTTGCTCACTCGGCTCCTATGCAGCAGCTTAAAAGCAGACGTGTGTTTGACTGTGTCATGTTTGCCCACCTGGACCTGAGAGTTGGTCTCGCCGGTGCAGATGACCCCCTGCCACTCCCCGTAGCGACCTCCTCTCGACCGCCCGCAGCTGGACCACAGCGTGAGCGTGGCTCCCTGCCCGAACACACAGCAGCAATGCGCTCACTGTCAGCTCAGCCTGTCATCTGTTCACTCACCACTGGAGGGTGCTAACAACTGAGATGGGTGTGGATCTCACCAGGTTGTCCTGCAGGATCGTCTTGTATGTGATTTTTGCCGTCGCCTGAAGGCCCCTGTGAAGAGGTCGGTGCAGATTTAGGTGCCGATAAAAATCATCTGCCACCTTCCAGTCCTCCTGCTTTGTTTGCATTTCTCTCCATTAGTGTTTCCAACAACCAACAAGCACAGACTGTATATCAATGATGACTAAGAACATCTGCATCCTCTCTCACGGGCAGCAGAGGGTGACATTTGTGACATCTACTGGACTCAATCACTACTTGTAAGTTTTTTTTCATACAACACGGTGCTTATATTGTGAAATACGGACCCACTGGAGTTAAAGAGTAAGATGCTGCCATTTTCAAATCCACATAAGACACATTTGACATGAAAGCCTATCAGTAAATTGTAAACATCTCGCCTTGATGTGATTCTCCTGTCTCAGTGAGGCTGTTGAAATTGAGTTTGGCAGAACCTGAGTTTACTGCATGCAGGCTTGAAATACCCTTGAAACCCATTTTTAAGGTAAGTTAACCTCCCACTGTTACTTTTTAAAGTTGTTCTGTAAAACTATGCAGGGTGTGGTACTGGGGGAAAAACTGAACAGATGATCTGATGCATTCAAATTAATGCACAGTTTCCATCAGCGTTGTGTCCCTCTGGATTGCAAACACATGTGCCATCATATGCAACTCATACTCATGGACGCATGTATGCAGCTGCATCTCTGATAATCAGGCACTGACCTGAGCAGTGCTCCGATCAGCTTGGTCACATTTTCTGATGTCTGGATCACAATGATGGGCTTGGACAGCACCTGGGATAAATCCATCTACAAACAGGGAAAACAGGGTTAAGAATTCAGCAGACTGAAATGTAAACACAGTCAGAGCTGTGCAGTTGAAAAAGACTTATTTAATGATATCTGCATGTTTCCATGCATAATGGTGGCTCTTCAATTAAGTTAGATACAACATAAAATACTATAAAAGTCTCATATCAACATCAAAAGCGGATTTACACAGTAAACCTAAATCAGCCACCAGCATTATTATTGTCAATGATCTGATAAGAAGCATGCACAGAGTGCAACAACGGCACTTTTGGCTGGGCTGTTATGAAAGAAAGGTTTACAAAATATTATTCTGATAAGAGAGATGGTCCTAGTTAAAAGTTATGAAAGAAAGGTTCAAAAAACAAAAACCCTCAATCTGAAATCTTTTCATCATGCTGTGTACTGCATGTCCTCTCACTGGCTTAATAAACATTAGATTCGGCCTCTCTTGCAGACAAAGAGTTAGCCGAGGTGCTTTGTGATTTACTAAATTATGAAGCGTACTTCCTAAATGATCAACACAAAAAGGTAAATGACACACAGGTTCATGAATGTCAGGAAATTTTGAAGAAAACAAATGTATGTTTCTCAGGTTTTCAGGGTCAGAGTTCATGTTTCAGGTCCAAACGTGTTTTCTTACAAACAGAAAGGAGCAATTTAATAAGAAGAACAATTCTCTTCCTCCTCATCGCCTGCTCTTGAAGAGGTCTCCTCCTGTAAAAGGGAGTTCTTCCTTCCCTCTGTTACCAAAGGGTGTTCACAAGGGGTCATCTGACTGTTGGCGGTTTTCTCTCTTATGCTGCAATCAGTACAGTTACATCTGAGATCATAAAATAAAGCAGCAGTTTGGCTATGATAAAACTATTAATGATGAGATTGTATCAAACGGCACATTCACTGTGCCTCCTCGCTTAGATGTCTGCTGGGAGGGAGTAAGATGTGAGGTCAGGGAAACGAGAAAGGCAGCTGGGTCATGGGAACTGTAGGTGCTGCTCTCAGATGATCCTCTCAGTTTCACTCCTCTTGAGGGATTCATGAAGAAATCCAAAAAAGCTTCTGCAAAGACATCCTTTTATGTTGTTGTCATCTCTGTCGCTTGGGGACTTCACTGGACCTAAACCTCAGATCTGTTTCTAACAGAATGTGAAAATTTGAACTGTTGTTATATATGCAGGCATTTTTTTATGCCTTGCATCCTGACACAGACTGGCATGAAGATGTTGACACTCCAGCGGCACTTGCAGTATAACCTGCAACTTTATAGCCCAACCAGCAAGTTTCAGCCTGTAGCTTGCATCGGGTCTTGTACATGGACTGGCACATGTAAAAATAAGTCAAATAAGGAAAAAGTCTGAGGAAGTTGCCGTACAGTTATGATGGAAAAGATGGAGAAACAAGATCCGTATCAACTGCAGACACATCCTTTTTTCTGAATTTTTACCTCACTGACGGTGTTTTGGTTGAGAGCCAGAATAATCAGCGCCGACGCTCCGAGGACCAACGCTCGCTTCATCTTGAACAGAGAGAAATCGATGTTACCTTTCAGGTTTTTAACTAAAATACTTCTAAAATACTGAAAACAGACTGATCACAGAACTAAAGCAGAAAGGTAATGTGGAAAATGTGAAAACTAAGCAGTTGACTGAACTGTACAAATACCACTCACTTTATTAACCACAGCATCAGCGAAGGACTCCTGGTTCCCAGTCGAGGCTTTGCTTTCGTCTATCTCCACGGGCACAACCCCGATCCACGGCTCCTGCTTCTTGATGTCAGCCTCATCGTTTCCTTCATCCACTGGTGTCACCTCATCTCTAACCTAAAGACAAAGGGCAGGGAAACAGGCTGAACATCTGCCCTGCACCAGGGTGGAAGTTCTGACGGGTGATTGTTGATCTGTTTTTAATATTAGTACATCTTCTTTTATCTCTTTTACCTGAAAGGTGTGATTGGCTCACATACAAAAAAGGCAACACTTTAAAGTTAAATTTTTCTATCTAAAATCTTATTTTAAGCCAAAAAAAAAAAACAAAACTTAGTCAACAAAACAAATTGTTATTTTGGGCTCGTGTCACCCGCATGTACCACTCTATTAAAGGACCAGGACAAGAGCCGAGCAGCTTTGACCCCCCCCGGGGCCCACTCACCAGGACCAGGTCTGCCTCCAACTCTTCTCGCTCCTCGTCCCGCTGCTCGGAGCTCCCACCGCCCAGGCGGGACTCAACCACTTCCCCCTGGAGCAGGTCGCTCGCATCTGGCCGCTGTTCCAAGAAAATCTCTACCAGAGCAACCTGTTCCGCCACCGCCAGCAGCCCCGGCCACCGCAGCAGCAGCAGTAGCAGGAGCGGTAACGACACCCCGAGGCAGCACCAGCGAGGGGAAGCCATGACCCCCAAAACAACACAGAGGAAATAGAGCAGAAAACTGCAATAAATCCACGATTTTAATCAACTGTCAGACATTGTTTTGGAAAAGCCGTAGCGGTTCCCTTCGCCAGTTAGCTCGCAGAGCCCCGGAGAATGTAAACAAGAAAGACAGCTTCCGGTCGAATCCGGAAGCTGCAGGATAATTATTCTCTTGCATAGGAAAAACGCAAAATAGGTCCTTTAGACAGAATCGACAAAAATTCAATCACATGCTAATGCTGTTGATTAGCTATCGATGTATCATACTGGTTTTGAACTGCCAACTTTAGCATATGACTAATGTTTCTCACGTCGCTGAGCTTTTAATTTAAACAGAGACGAATAAAAACACCGAGAGAAGTACTCTCCCACACTTCCTTTTTCGCTTTAAAGCTAGGACTCAACCCTACAGCTAAAGTTCCGTATAAAACATTTTCAAAACTGCCTGTTGTTTATACTAAGATGGTGAATAACTAAATTCCCTTTATCAAAGTCTAATATTTTTCCGAAAGCACTGGAGATAAAAAAAATCAGGATCTTTTAACAAGTTCCTTTTCTCACTTGCCCGGTACGACTATAAATATAGGGTATCACATTTATCATTAAAACTAATAATACGCAGTTAAACATAACTTTATAAAAAGTGGCATAATACGCAATAACTTAATTTAATTAACGATGTGAAAACGCTTATTGTATGTGCGCATGTGCAAGATTTGTTGTTAATTTATTTTCTTTTTCCAAAGATCGTCTCCTTTCTGTCCCGACAATGTCTTACACAAAAGGGAAAAAACACCTACTATTAAACGTTAAAGAGCTTAAAATTCTCAGTGTAAGACCTCGTAGATTAAATTACTTTACTCTTTATTTTCAGCTGATTAGCTCGACAATTTAATGGCAAAAGATACATTGAATAATTCTGTATTTAATAACATGATTTTAATAGTGAGTGAACCTATGAACAGAGAAGGCGGGGCTTCTGCTCTCCGTGGCCCCTCCCTCTGCTGCAGAGTGGCGCTCCTGTCATTTTCCCCTGTTTCTTTGGCTGAGTTAGCCAACTGGGCTGGATCTTTAAGCATAGGGTAAAAACGGGCGGTGTGAGCGCCGTGTTTACATTTTGCCCCCTCTCATACGTTTTGCACCACCGGGCAGTGACACCGGAGGATAGCAGGACGCTGAGGCCGTGGATGAGCATCACGTGGAGGCGTCAAAGACGGAACTTTGAAGGAGCTCTGCTGTCTTTATCCACAGGTCGGAGGCATGAGCGGGAGAGTGGGAGACCTGAGTCCTAAACAGGCTGAGGCGCTGGAGCAGGTCAGTTTAATAAGAGGAGTTTGATAACGCGACTGAATGGGGTGATGCCTTCACTCTGGCCTTATCTGTCTTGATCTGCTTCGCTGTTTTCACAGTGTGTGGTTTCCGTCACAGTGTGAAACGCTCTAATAATGTGTGTAGAGGCTCACAGTGAGCTGTCACAGCATGCGCACAGACACCGTCCTGCATTTATTTCCTTTCTAGCCCATATATCACAGTGAGTCTCCTCTGTCTAATTAACCGAACATTTTAAGGGTTTATACGCAGCGCTAATGTTTTCTGTTAATGTTAGCCATATACTGATGTATTATTGATCAGCAAAGAGACAATGGAGGAAGGTTAAATTTGCTAAAATAGATTACATTTTAAATATCACCCAAGTTTGACACTGTGGTGTCTTTATTTTCTGTGTAGCCTGTAAATGTTACACAGAGTCTGTCAGTAAGCCACACTTTGTGAAGGGCTTTTAAGGATTTTTTTCAATTATTGTTATTGTATTAAACTTGATTTTGATTTTTTTAAGATCAGAATTGAGCCCATAGAATAAGGACAGCGTTGTAGCAAATAATCAGCTAATCTGACTAAGAAACTCAGTAGATTTTAGTTGCTGTCTAAAACCCATTAGATAGTCAGTGTTCAATACATTTAAAATCCTAATATTTTACAAGCCAGTGATGTTCCAAATAGTTATTTGTGTATTTGCCAAAAACATTTGTACCCATATTTAAATGAATGTAAATGACTTTTTGGCCTATAATTTGCCAAACAACAGACAAGTAATTCTGAGACAGAAAAAAGGAGCTGCAGTTAGTTTTTGGCACAGTAACCTTTATGTCTCACTGACATTAAAAATGTATTTTTCTTCATCTGTATGTAAACAAAGCGTTAATAAAAATATATTAAAATGTCTTTTTTAAGATTACCCCTGTACTTGTTGGTGCACATTTTCCACCAAGAAGTGAGAGTGGGAAAACATTACTGAAAAACAATAGGTGCTATTTCAGATTTATAGTACTGTGCAAACATCTTGAGCCATCATCATTTCTTTATATTTTGGGACCGGTGATGTCGGTGATCTTGTCTAAATGAGTGGAATTATGAACTTGGGAAAGTACAATCAGATTTTCATCCACCATACAAAACCATCTGGAAAGCATGTGTTTGGCAACAGCTTCGTTTTTCAGCATGACACTGATCCCAACCACACAGCCAGTGCAGTAAACCCATCATGGATAGAAAACAAACAAACAACACCAAATGGAGCACTAGCATTCATGATCGGCCTCTCTAGAGCCTGGATTTCAACATTATCATTGCAGTGTGGGGTCATGTAGACAGACAATGGGAAACAAAAAGCCACTGTCGGATTATGATATTATTTTATGCCATGTTAGACCCCTAACTAAAGATTGTGAATTATTATGTAGTTTTAGTTTGCATTATGCTCCTGAATTAGAAGAAGGTGATAACTATTACATTTGGTAAACTGATTTGCATTACATTAGACTGCTGATTTATTGTGAATGAATGATATTGTTTTATGATGCATTATACTGCTGAGTTATAAGAAATACTGTTTGCAGAAAGTCATCGCCTTATTTGTCTGGTTAGAAGAGAACAGAGCATACTGCCCCATCTCATCAGGAGCAGATAAACAGGGAGCCAAGGTCGTAGCTTAGGCGCTGTGTGAGAAAGAATGTGAATGTTTAGGCTTTTATGATTAGGTGGGGGCCACTAGAGGCTATAAGAGTTTGATCAAGGCTCCACCATTTTGAGATCTGATGCTGTCTGCTGTATGGTGTCCATCTCCCACGCGTGTGTTCATTAAGTCATCGTTTGACTCAACCCGGCCGGACCAGTGTTGTTATTTTGGTTTTTCCTCTTGTATCCATCCCCAATATTTGAATCCGTAACACCACCAACATCTAAAGAAGAGCTTTGAATGTCCTTCATGAACCATAGAGAACTATTCCTGAAGACGTCAAACCAAATATTGACTTTCAAGCTCCTGTTTTTGCCTTATGTTTCAGTAAGTCGCTGCACCTATTTCCCATTTTTCTAACAAATTATTAACTATAAAGAAATGTGATGTGGCTCAAGACCTTTGCAAAACATAAGTTCAAACTTCAGTATTATGTTTATTGTTCAAACTAGTTTTTTGTACGGTGAAACAGTGATTTCCTTTAACCAATAAATTACATAAATTACTTTTGAAACATGCTGCGGTCATTGAGCTGTCAAGAAAAATAACATTTTTTGTCCTTGCTCAGGTTAGTAACAAGTGAGCATATCCTGAATAATCCTTCTGACTCTTAGGGTCCCTGTAGTTTACAAAATGGACTTAACTTTGTATTTGTTATGACATGAAACCAGTAACTCATCCAATAAACCCACAAGGACAGTGTTTTACTAGAACATTTCTGGATACAGTTATTGGTTAACAGCTTGTGAGCGGCTAACCACAAGCCAGTGAGCTTGTGGTTTCACAGTCAGATCCACCCTTTGTTTCTTACTGTCATGTAATGGATTGTGTAGATTACTCGACTCGTCAGATGGAATTAATTAAGGAAGAAAAAACAAACCTTTATGTTTGTGTTGTTTAAATCCAGCAGGAAACAAATCACATAAAGCCAAACGGGAGAAACACAATGGAAAAAGCCACTGGCAGACAAACATTCAGTTCAGTGTTGGCAAATTAGAAACACCAGGGTACACAGCTGAAACCAATCAGGGAAAACAAGATGAGGGAAGCAAAACTGAATATAGGGCACAAAAATATGGAGATTATCAGAATAAAACAGGAAGGAACTTAACATGGGACCATTTAACATAGTGATGGAGACTTAACTAGACACAGGCAACACGGGTGAGGGAGGGTGAACTGAGAGAGGGAACACAATAAACACAACAGTAACTGTAAAAAAAAAAAAAAAAAGGCAGAAGAGTGAGAACACAACAAGAAACAGAGAATTAAACTAAAGTTTATAATAAGAGAACTTAAAGGTCCAAAAACACAAAACACAGGGTTCATAACACGACTGCCCTAAATGATGGGTAACGTCACAGTGGGTACGTAAATTTGTTTATGAAAAAACAGGCTCTGCCACGACTTTCTCACAAAAGAATTTCTTCCTGGATAAATAAACATTGAAAAAAACAAAACAGTTGTTAGTCATTAGCAACATTATCAGCTGCAAGTCATTCACCGCATCAAGAGCAGTCCTGTTGGAAGACCACGTTCAGCTCCACATCTGTTATCATATGATGTCAAGGGTCTGCTGTCATTCATCATTTAGCTGAAGGGAAAGTCTGTTATCTGCATGTATACACACTGCAAAGTGTATGATAAGGCCAAAAGTTTATGGACATGTTCTATTAGTTCATATTAACCCTCCACAGCAGAGGCCTCTGCTGCAGGGCAGGAGTGTTTTTACAGTAACAAAGATTGAGACATATACTACACTGTTATGATAAAGGTAGATAAATTATACATAGACTAGCATTTCTACTGCAAGGCTCATTCACCGAGTCACACCCACATTCATACAGTGCTTTTATCTATGTTGATCTGTGCGCACACTCACACAGCATCAGGGTTTAGTAGCTTGCTCCAGGCGATCGTGGTGATTCCAGCTTTACTAAACAGCCGTTTCGTTCCATGTGTCTTTAAAAGTTCACTATTATGTGAACATTGTAATCCACATGTAGTGTGGTATATTGCTAAAACTGCACATATTTTTCTAAAATGATCTCAGGCTTATTAAATTAAAGGTGGAAATTAAAGATCTCATTAACTGTCATCTAAAATGATGGGTCATGA